TGACCAGCCCATCTGATTTTTGACACCTTGGCAAACGAGACAGCGTCCCTGATTCTTGATCATCGACGCAGGTCGGAACTCCGGATTCTTTCTCTCATTTCAGTGAAACGTGATATTCCAAGCATAGCTCTTTCAATTCCTCGTTGGGAGACACACATTATTGGCCTAGCACGAAACCAATTAGATTTTTTTGTTTGTTTGCTTGGTTTTTTTTCTTTTGTTTTGTTTTGTTTTTTTTTGCTTTTTGGGTCATACCCGGTGATGCACATGGGTTACTACTCCTGGCTCTGCGCTCAGGAATTACCCCTGGCGGTGCTCAGGAGACCCTATGGAATGCTGGGAATCGAACCCAGGTCAGCCTCGTGCAAGGCGAACGCCCTACCTACTGTGCTCTTGCTCCAGCCCCGGAACCATTTAGATCTGAAGCTCAGCACTGCGTATGCTGGTCCTCACCCCAGCAACACTGCCAGGAATAATCCCTGATCACGGAGGAAGAGTAAACCCTGCTTACAGCCAGGTGTGAATAAACCCCTCCCCAAAAACACATACACACACACACACACACACACACACACACACACATAAAGTAGAGGAAATAAAGGTCCCTGCGTCCCAGAAATGAAAGTATGTTTAGGGGCCGAAGTGATAGTACAGTGGGTAAGGCCAACTCCCCCGCAACACCCCTGCCATGCACTATGTGCAAGGAAAGTTCTCTGTCTACTGCACTAACTCTCTGGCTCCAAGGATTTAAAACTTATTTTTGGTGGGGGCTGGAGCGATAACACAGCGGGGAGGGCATTTGTCTTGCATGCGGCCGACCCGGGTTCAAATCCCAGCATCCCATATGGTCCCCCGAACAATGCCAGGAGTGACCTGGCAGACCCAAAAACAACAACAAAAATATTTTTGGTATTATTACAATTGGCTTTTTGGGTCACATCCGGCGATGCTCAGGGGTTAATACTGGCTCTGCACTCAGGAATTACACCTGGTGGTGATCAGGGGACCCTATGGGATGCTGGGGATCGAACCTGGGTCGGCTGTGTGTAAGGCAAATGCCCTACCTGCTGGACTATCATTCTGGCTCTGAACAAGAAGGAGCTTTCTAAAGCACATTCAAAATTTTCTAAGGGTCGCAGAGATAGTATAGCAGGTAGAGCGCCTGCCTTGCAATCTTGCAATAGTGGATTGATCTTCAGAACAATGTATGACCCTCCATTATCACCAGCACTGATCCCTGAGCACAGAACAAGGAGTAAGTCCTGAACACCACTGGGTGTGTTGAAAAAAACTTTCAAAGAGGTAGGCTGGGGAGAGGCGGGGCTGGAGTGATAGCACAGCAGGTAGGGCATATGCTTTGCACGCGGCCAACCTGGGTTCGATTCCCAGCATCCCATATGGTCCCCCAAGCACCACCAGGAGTAATTTCTGAGTGCAGAGCCAGGAGTAATCCCTGAGTATCACTGGGTGTGACCCAAAAAGAAAAAAAAAATTGGTAGGCTGGGGCTGGATCGATAGTACAGTGGGTAGGGTGTTTGCCTTGCATGTGGCCGACCCGGGTTCGATTCCCAGCATTCCATACGGTCTCCCAGCAGTGCCAGGAGTAATTCCTGACTACAGATCCAGGAGTAACCCCTGTGTATCGCCGGGTGTGATTGAAAAAGCCAAAAAGATAAAAAAAACAAATAAAAAAAGAGGTAGGCTGGGGAGAGAGTTGAAGAGGCTGGAATGCTGGCAGTACAGCCAACATCCTGGGTTCAGGACCCAACATCACGTTTCCTCAGAATACTGCAGGGAAGGACTCCTGAGCACTGAATCTCACCAGGGCCAGCCACTGGGCACTGCTGGTGTGACTCCAAACAGTAAAACAAACAAACCAAAATTTCAAAGAGGAAAAGAGGTCCAGAGACAAGATTTGAAACACTCTCATAGGAAAATTTTAATAGGCGGCATTCAAGTAAGTATATAAACACTATATACAAAGTCCAGAGTGATACAGGCTAACATATTTTCCAGATTCTAGCTAAAGGCACGTGACATTAGCAACTGAGCTAAAAATACCAATTCAGGCTTAAACGTTTTTAGCAACTAGTGCTTATAGATGAAGTCACGTTCTTTCCCAGAAATTCCATCCCTCAATTATGATTTGGAGTGATGATTGAGTGAGGAAATACATAGGAATTTATATACAAATAGACATAAAAAATGCATAGAATTCTATGTGTACCGTCCAGTGCTATTAAAAATGCCGATATTGCTCTTATCTTAATTGCTTCTGATTACTTGAGGTTCTGCCAATAGAGAAAAAAGACAAACATTAAATTTATTCTGCATCTAAGCAAGCTGGAAAGACAAAGCTATTAATTATCTATACTGCAATCAATAAAAATGTAGTGGTGGGGTGGGGGAGGGATTGGAGCAACTGGATAGCAGGAAGGAGCTTTCTGGGACTGGAGCGATAACACAGCAGGTAGGGCCTTTGCCTTGCACACGGCTGCCGACCTGGGTTCGATTCCCAGCATCCCATAGGGTCCCCGAGCACCACCAGGAGTAATTCCTGAATGCAGAGCCAGAAGTAACCCCGGTGCATCGCTGGGTGTGACCCAAAAAGAAAAAAAAAATCAAAGAAATTTAAAAGAGAAACAATGGGACTAGAGCAATAGCACAGTGGGTTTCCACGCGGCCCACCTGGGTTCGATTTCCAGCATACCATAGGGTCCCCCGAGCACCGCCAGGAGAGATTTCTGAGTGCAGAGCCAGGAGTAACCCCTGTGCATCACCAGGTGTAACACAAAAGGCAAAAAAAAAAAAAAAAAGAAAAAAAGAAAAAAAAAGGAGCTTGCCTTGCATGTGGTCAATATGGATTTGACCCCTGGCACCCCACATGGTCCCCTGTGTCCTACCAGGAGTGATTCCTGAGGGCCAGGAGCGATAGAATACCTAGTAAGGCGCTTGCATGCAGCCAACCCAGGTTCGAGACCCCGGCATCCCATGTAGTCCTCTGAGCAAACACCAGGAGGAATTCCTGAGTGCAGAGCCAGGAGTGATCCCTGAGCATCATCAGGTTATACCCCCCCACCCCTCCAACCCCCATCCAAAAAAAAAAAAATTAGTAGTGATTTCTGAGTGCAGAGGACGGAGTTAGCAGGAGCACAGCTGGGTATGGCTCCAAACCAAACAAACAAGCAAAGAAACCCCCACAAAAATTAAAAACCAGGGCTGGAGTCATAGCGCAGCAGGTAGGGCATTTGCCTTGCATGCGGCCCACCTGGGTTCGATTCCCAGCCTCCCTTATGATCCCCTGAGCACTGCCAGGAGTAATTCCTGAGTGCATGAGCCAGGAGTAATAACCCCTGTGCATCGCCGGGGGTGACCCAAAAAGCAAAAAATGAAATAAAATAAAAGCCAAACGGAAGGTGTTCTTTTTGCTTACGATTTAACATTTTATGTAGAAAACTGTAAAACAAAGCTCCCAGAAGAGAGCGATGCAGTTTCTCCCTGTCGGAGAGCCTGGCAAGATACCGAGAGTATCCCACCCGCATGGCAGAGCCTGGTAAGCTCCCCGTGACATATTCGATATGCTGAAAACAGTAATAATAATAATAGTTCTTATATCCCTGACCCTGAAAGAGCCCCAGTATGCCTTTGGCGCCCACTCAAGCAAATCGATGAACTACGGGACATCAAGTGAAACAAGTGAAGTGATATAGAAAACAGCCTTACCTTTTTTTTTTTCTAATATATCTTTTCTTGCATTTCCACTTGCATATTTCTTTATTGTAGTTCTTCCTCTTTTTACAAAACCACAGCTCTATCTGCAAAACAACAAAAAGTGTGGTGGGCAGTGATGACCCCAGGAACAAAGATGTGGGAAACCAGACCTCAAAGAAAACACGTGTTCAGAAGCAGAGTGAGAGATAGAATAGCGGGCAAGGAGCTTGCCTGGCATGTGAACTACTTGGGTTCGATGCCCTGCACCCCACCTGTGGTCCTTGAGCCCTGTCAGGAGCGATGCATGAGGACTGAGCCAGGAGTAAACCCTGAGCACCTCAGGGTGTGGCTCAAAAAAAAAAAAACAGAAAAAAAAATAGGGCCAGAGTGATAGTACAGAGAGTAAGGCGTTTGCCTTGCACATGGCCAACCTGGGTTCGATCCCCGGCACCCCATATGGTCCCCTGAACACTGCCAGGATTGATTCCTGAGCACAGAGCCAGGGATAAGCCTGAGCACCTCTGGGTATGGCCCAAATTTCCCTTACTCTCCCCCCAACCCCCAAGAAAGTGTATTTGTTCTGTGTTTTGCGTTGTGACTTCTTGGTTGTTTTTTATTTAAACTAAGAAGAGTCACTTTTTTTTTTTTGGCTCTTTGGGTAACACCAGCAATGCACAGGGGTTACTCCTGGCTCATGCACTCAGGAATTACCCCTGGCGGTGCTTGGAGAACATATGGGATGCTGGGAATCGAACCCGGGTTGGCCCCTTGCAAGGCAAACGCCCTACCAGTTGTGCTATCACTCCAGTCCCGAGAAGTCACTTTTGGCAGTGCTCATGGGACCAGATGTGGTGCCAGGATCAAATCAGGATCAGCCTTACGAAGGCCTTAACAGGGGGCTGGAGCAATAGCACAGCAGGGAGGGCGTTTGCCTTGCACGCGGCCAACCCGGGTTCGATCCCCAGCATCCCATATGGTCCCCCAAGCACCGCCAGGAGTGATTCTTGAGTGCATAAACCAGGAGTAACTCCTGTGCATCACCGGGTGTGACCCAGAAAAAGCAAAAAAAAAAAAAAAAAAAAAAAGCCCAGAAAAAGGGAAAAATGATGTTGGGCCAGAGAGACAGCCCATGGGTTAAGGCACTAGCCTTACTTTCCCAGCATCACAGATGGTCCTCCCCGACCCCAGTATCCCCAGAGGTCACTTCTGAGCACAAAAAAAAGTTCCTGAGCACCACTGGGTGTGGCCCTACCCTTTCCCCCTCAAAGAAAGTGGAAATGTCGCGATACCTGTTTTTCCGTCAAGCCGAATTCAAATGCCAGCGCATGACTCTCTCGGATCGTGACATATTGCTGGATCTTAAACTTGGTCCAGAGAGTGTCCATGAGGGGTTTGCTCACTAATTTTTTCTGGGGAGGTGGTTCCTCGATCTTTTTCCCTTTCCTCTCCTCATCCTCCTGTTCCCCTGCCATTTCCCTTCGCCTTTGGCGTTTTTTGGCCACAGCAGCTTGGGGCTTTGGGGCCCATCCTGGAGGTCGTCTGGGTCCGGAGCCTTTCGAGGGATTGAATGAGAAACTACTGCATGCAAAGCATCGCCCCCAGCCTGCGAAGCGCCCGGCCAGACGCCAGGCCAGGCTTGTCGCCGCCGCCTCTTCCTCCTCCTCCTCCTCCTCTTCCTCCCCTTTCCTCCTTCCATCTTCGCTGTAATTCCCGTTCACTCGCTCTGGAGCATTATCACCAGGTGTAGTTTGTAGCTTCTGAACAGCAAGATCTATATAGAATAAGAGCCGTTAGTACAACAGGTAAGGCACATGCCCAGTGTGCCGCTGACCTGGGTTCGATCCCCAGCATCCAGACAATTTCCCACCTCGAGCACTGCCAGGAGTAACCGCTGAACATCACCGGGTGTGGCCCAGAAGGCCAAAATAAATCACTTTTTAAAAAAGATTTATAGTGGGGCTGGAGCGATAGTACAGTAGGGTGTTTGCCTTGCGTGCAGCTGACCCAGGTTCGATTCCCAGCATCCCATAGGGTTTTCTGAGCACTGCCAGGAATAATTCCTGTGCTTTGCCAGGTGTGACCCAAAAGCAAAAAAAAAAGAATTATTATTATTTTTTTTTCTTTTTGGGTCACACCCGGCGATGCTGAGGGGTTACTCCTAGCTCATGCACTCAGGAATTGCTTCTGGCGGTGCTCGGGGGACCATATGGGATGCTGGGAATCGAACCTGGGTCAGCCATGTTGGCTGCGTGCAAGGCAAATGTTCTACCCGCTGTGCTATCGCTCCAGCCCCCCTAAAAAATTTTTTTTAAATAAATAAATGAAAAAAGATCTATAGAATAAAATTCAAACCGTAGCTAAGTTTGCTTTTAAGATCACAGCTGACAGTTTTCAGTGGGATCATCTATTGGAGGACCAGAAAGCTAGGAGAGCAGCTAAGGTGCTTGCCTTGCCCTTGGCTGACCCAGATTTTCCTCATGGCACCAGATATAGCACTAGAGGCTCTAGCTACATAGAATCCTTGGGCCCTATAGCACTGAGCCATCTCTTGGGGTCAGGGGACAATTGATACCCCCTTCTCCCCACCCATATAAACAGTTCTGAGTACACTTAGTAGAATAAAATTTAAAAACAATTTTTTTTTTTTTGCTTTTTGGGTCACACCCGGCGATGTCCAGGGGTTACTACCTGGCTCTTCACTCAGGAATTACTCCTGGCATTGCTCGGGGGACCATACGGGATGCTGGGAATCGAACCTGGGTCGGCCGCGTGCAAGGCAAATGCCCTACCCACTGTGCTATCGCTCCAGCCCCCAACATTTTTTTTAAGTAAGGGGTGGTCCAAGAAATAGTACCAGGGTAGAGGACTTGTCATGTATGTGGTGAATCTGGGTACAACCCCTGACATCACATATAGTCCCCTGAGTCCCACTAAAAGTGACCCTTGAGTCAGAGACAGAGTATGCCCTGAGCACCTGCAGGTGTGGCCCTGCAAAAAAATAAAAAAAGTTGGTGCCAGAGTCAGCGGGGAGGGCGTTTACCTTGCACACAGCCAACCTGGGTTTGATCCCTGGCATCTCATGAGGTTTCCCGAGCACCACCAGGAGTCATTCCTGAGTGCAGAGCCAGGAGGAACCCCTGAGCATCGCTGGGTGTGACCCAAAAGGATCTCCCTCCCCAACAAGGTAAAAGGTAAAGGTAAAGGCCCTCCCGTTGATCGTCGATTTGCTCGAGCGGGCCCAGTAACGTCTCCATTGGAGACTTTGTTGTTACTGTGTCTGGCATATCGAATACTCTCGGTAGCTTGCCGGGCTCTCCGAGAGGGGCGGAGGAATCGAACTCGGGTCGGCCATGTTGGCCGCTTGTAAGGCGAACGCCCTACCCGCTGTGCTATCGCTCCAGCCCCAACAAGAATAAATAAATAAATAATTAAAAAGTGAAGTTAGTGAGTTAAAGCTACATTTGTCGACATGGTTCATTTAATTTTGATGTTTTGTTTTTGGCTCATACCCTGCAGTGCTCAGGACTTACTCTTGACTCAGTGCTCAGGAATCACTTCTGGTGGGGCTCAAACCACATCTGTGGTTTTGGGCTTCAACTCCAGGTTGGCCAAATGCAAGACAAACACCTTATTCCAGAACTATCTCTCTGATCCCTATTGTTTTCTTTCTTTTTTGTTTTTGGGTCATACCCAATGGTGCTCAGGGCTTACTCATGGCTCTGTGTTCAGGGATCACTCCTGGCGCTGCTCGTGGGACCATATGGGGTGCGGGGAATCAAATCCAGATCAGCTGTGTGCAAGGCAAGAGCCCTCCCGATTGTTCTTGCTCTCTGGTCCCTCAATTTATTGCTGAAAATGAGTATGTTAATAATTACGTGGAGGCCAGATAATTACACTGGGCTAAGTGTGTGCTTTGCATGCCCAGAGGTTTAGGTTTGACCACCAGCACTAAAGAGTCCCCTTTGCGAGGGCTGGAGTGATAGCACAGCGGGTAGGGCATTTGCCTTGCACGCGGCAGACCCGGGTTCGATTCCCAGCACCCCATATAGTCCCCTGAGCATCACCAGGGGTAATTTCTGAGTACAGAGCCAGGAGGAACCCCTGTGCATCGCCGGGTGTGACCCAAAAAGCAAAAAAAAAAAAAAAAAGTTCCTTTTGGGCCTGGAGTAATAGCACAGGGGGCAGGGCGTTTGTCTTGCAGCCAGCCAACCTAGGTTCAATTCCCAGCATCCCATATGGTCCCCCGAGCACCGCCAGGAGTAATTCCTGAGTGCATCAACCAGGAGTAAGTCCTGTGCATTGCTGGGTGTGACCCGAAAAGAAAAAAAAAATAGCACAGCAGGTAGGGGGTCTGCCTTGCATGCAGCTGACCCAGGTTTGAGTCCCAGCATCCCATATGGTTCCCCGAGCACCGCCAGGAGTCATTCCTGAGTGCATGAACCAGGAGTAACTCCTGTGCATCACCAGGTGTGACCCAGAAAAAGAAAAAAAAAGTCCCCTTACTTACCATTCCTGCCCTAGAATCTCTGGAGAGCCAGGTGTGCCACCCCCAAAAAGAAAATAAAGACTCATGCCCTGGAGTACCTGAGGACCCAGCGGCAGCTGAGTCTAGCCAGGATTCTTTGCGCTGTGTCTCGGTGCCCTGCTGCCTCTGGGCGCCGTCGAGGGATAACTCATGGAGGGCAGTAACTGGTAGCTCCGAACTCATGGTTTCTTCCCAGCTCGTGCCAATGACTTCGTCCTCCGAGAGGGGGTTGGCACTTCCTGTTGGGCCACTCCAGCCGTTCTGTGCACTAGAATGACCGTGTGTCCTGACCCCGGATGGTCCCTGGGTCTGTACAGAGAGATAGATCACCTCTGCAGCTTGGCCCTGCGGCTCCTAGAAGCCCAAAGGACCAAGTAGAAGTGACTTTCCATGACTTGACTAGAGAAAAGTGCTTAAGAATGGAGAAAAGGGGCTGGAGAGAGAGAGAGAGAGAGAGAGAGAGAGAGATGAGACAGAGAGAGAGACAGAGACACAGAGAAAGAGAACGAGAGACAGAGAAAGAGAGACAGAAAAGAGAGACAGACACAGAGAGAGAGACAGAGACACAGAGAAAGAGAACGAGAGACAGAGAAAGAGAGACAGAAAAGAGAGACAGACACAGAGAGAGAGAGACAGAGACACAGAGAAAGAGAACAAGAGACAGAGAAAGAGAGACAGAAAAGAGAGACAGACACAGAGAGAGAGACAGAGACACAGAGAAAGAGAACGAGAGACAGAGAAAGAGAGACAGAAAAGAGAGACAGACACAGAGAGAGAGACAGAGACACAGAGAAAGAGAACGAGAGACAGAGAAAGAGAGACAGAAAAGAGAGACAGACACAGAGAGAGAGACAGAGACACAGAGAAAGAGAACAAGAGACAGAGAAAGAGAGACAGACACAGAGAGAGAGACAGAGACACAGAGAAAGAGAACGAGAGACAGAGAAAGAGAGACAGAAAAGAGAGACAGACACAGAGAGAGAGACAGAGAGAGAGAGACAGAGAAAGAGAGACAGAGACAGAGACAGAGTGCAAGGCAAGCACCCTCCCCGCTGTACTATTGCTTCAGCCCTTTTTTTTTTAGTAGTAAAACTTTTGTAAAAAATTCTCTAGGGGCCTAAGAGACAGTACAAGGCTTAAGCCACTTGCTTAAGGATTTGAACAGCAACACATATGGTCCCCCAGCAATCCCAGGAGTAGCCACTGATCACCTCCGGATATGACCTAAATACCTCTCCCCTGCCCCCCTGTAAAAGAGCATCTATATTTGCAGTTTGTATGTTGGCGTTTCTTCTTGCTGAATTTCCTGCTCTCACTTAAAAAAAAAAAATCTGTTTCCAGGGGCTGGAGCAATAGCATAGTGGGTAGGGCATTTGCCTTGCCAATTCCCAGCATCCCATATGGTCCCCTGAGCACCACCAGGAGTAAGTCCTGAGGGCAGAGACAGGAGGAACCCCTGTGCATCGCCAGGTATAACCCAAAAAGCAATACATACATGCATACATTCACACACACATACATAAATCTGTTTCCACATCCAGCCTCCATGGAGGTATCTTTTGTCAAGTCAGAGATGAAAACGACCCCCTTAGTTAGGGTTGAGCTCCCGGTTCCCATCTCACCTGGAGTGCGCAGAAAACTGCCCCTCGGAGAACTTCCTGCTCAGGGTTCCTTCCCCAAGTTTCCTTCCAGAAAGTGGCTCGTTCCTCCTCTTGTACCCAAGCCTGGCACCGAGAGAGAGCGTCGAGGGCAGACTAGGCTCCTTGGTCTCTAAGCTCCTATATACACAGCCTTGGTCTTGGGAAATTAATCTTGTCTTTCTCATTTTCTGTGCCCCACATTGAATCAGTGGTCTCCCTAAGCCCCACCCTGCAGCAGAATCCAATCTCAAGGGAGTTAATACCATCCAAGTGGTGATTACTTGCCCTGTTTTTTTTGTTTTTGGCC